GACGCCACCTCAGTGTGCAGAGCCAGCTGCAGACCTTCCGAGGGCCCTGCAGACGACCTGGCATTCCCTGTTCTGAACCTCTACCAAGCCCACCCACACACCTGGTGCCTCCTGCTCACCTCTCAGGGCTCAGTCAGGCATTCTGTTTCTCAGAAGCCCTCATGGCCCTTGGGGCTTCCCCTCAAGCCCCCTCCTCCTGGCAGAGGGGAGGAGACAAATCCTCCGGGTGGGGTGCGGAATCTCCCACAAAGCAGTGCTCATTGCTTGCTGAGGGGACAGCAGTCACCACACAGGACGAATCTCCTTCAAGCTCCTTCCTCCCTGCCCCCACTTACCTCAGAAATCACCCACTTGGCTTATTTGAGAAATATGTATTAAGCACCTCCTCCTTTCACCAGGCACCAGGAGTTCAGTGAGGAGTAAAAGAGTCTCAGGGTTTGGGGTCTACTGGGAGAGGTGAGTATTTAGTAGAGAGCCCATAAATTAAGACACATCTGTGCTATTTAGCTTTTTTTTTTTAACAAGATACATGCATTACTTTGATTAAAATAAAAAATGAAGGTAAATAAATACATACCTGGAGACTGTGATAGGCACATGGAAGAAAAAGTTCCAGGTTCTTTGAGAGACTATATAAGGGGAGCCCCGAGTGAGGAGGGGCCTGGCATGTAAGCATGAAAAGTGGGGAGATCAAGAACAGGGTGGAGCTCAAAGGCCCTGCAGGGACCAGAGAGAATTGCTCCTAGATGGAGAGACAGCCAGGCAGCTGGAGCCTCAAGGCTGAGTGGTCACTCAGGGCTGTGAGAAGCCACTGAAGATCTTTAAGCAAGTCAATACCCATTTTTAGACCACCCTGGCTGCCATAGAGTAGCTTGGAGGAGGCAGGGAGCCCGTGAGCAGGGGTCGGTCATCCAGGGAGGTGTGATGAGTACTGGAGGCAAAGAGGGATAGGACTGCAGTCAAGATGCCTAAGAGGCAGCACAGGTACCTCTGAGCGGTGGTTAGACATGGCTGGGAGAGGCTCCTTCCTAGGAAGACTCCAGGTTTCTGGCAGGAGAGCTGAGCCACGAATGGTCAAGGAGGAGAGGGTGTGGGCGAGGAGGAGCAAGATGCCTTTACCTGGGGTGTGTGTATTGGACCACCTAGAACCATCGATATAGCGGCACCCCCGGGTAATGGGACATGTGGGCTGGTGGGTATGCAGCCAGGGTGAGAGGGAGGCAGGCATTGCCCAGGCCCATCCAGTGTCTCCTTGCTGGCCTTCTGGAAACTAGCCTGCTATTGGCCTGGACAGACGCCTGTGCTTAAGGACACAGCTACCAGCCGTGTAGCTCATGGCACTGAAGATTTCGTGTCATGGAGCTCTGTCTCCACCCACAGCTTTGGGTGCTGGCCGGCCCTTTTCCCATCTCATGGGGGCTATCAGGTCTTCCCTCTTCTCCTCTGGCCTCTTGTCACCTACCCATAGTAGACTCATTGGCCTACTCATCCGAGCTTGTAGAGCAGTAGTGAAAGAATGTCCCGGACCTTCTCCAGGCCATAGCTGACATCTCACAGGTCCTGAGCTGGTTCGCCTCTCAGGGCCCCCATCTGCAGGCCACTCGAGGAATTCGTGTGCAAAATCTGTACCTTGTTTGTTTTCCCCTCTGCCAAAATGGAGCCCCTGTTTGGTTCATTTCTATTTTGTAGCTTATTTGGAGGCTGTTAAAACAGACCCTGGGGGACCCTCAGCAGTGATTGTTCCATCTCTCATTATCTTTCCGAACCCGATTATTAGCTCCGATTTTTCTGATCGCTAGCTGCTGTTCGTGATGAGTTGTGTGCCATTAATGCCAGCTGGTTCCCTTAAACAGGACCCACCATGCCAGGGAAAACGAGCTGGCATTCAGAGCCTCAGCCACTTGGCTTTTTAATTTTAATGGGCTCCACCAAATGTTCCAGGCCAAAGGGCCCCCGAGGAACCAGAACAGAAGGGGCTCCCAACCCCCGGTCTGCAGTGCACCCTGGGTCCCTCCCAGGGCTGAGGCTGTCCTAGGTGCTGGGGCTGAGGAAGAGCAAGGGCGAGCCTCCCTGATGTTAGCGCCTTCTCCACTACTTTGCCTGGGTGGGGTAACCTCGCCAACTCCTATGAGCTCACAGCTCCACACACACCCAGGTCTTCTCCCCACTTTGCTGGGCTCTGGCATGTTGCTGATATTCTCAGAAACATGCACCTCACTAAATCTCACCCCATCCACCTGGGGGAGGTCCTGGTAGACTTCAGGGAAGAGGAGGCCAGAAGAGACCCCAGAGCTAAGGCATTGTTTTCTCTCTTCCTTCCTCCTTCCTACCTTCGAGTAGGGTAGATGGGATGGCTCACACACTCTGGACTTCCTGCTGGCCAGTTCTTGCCAGCAGGAACAATGGTTGTCCAAGGAGGGAAAGGCTTTGGGGAAAAAAGAGACAGTACTACAGCCGCGGCCTCTACTCCCCCTTTCCCTGCAGCACTGCCCACTCCCCTCTCTCCCTGAAGACTGCCCTGGGGAAGGGTCTGAGCCTCCCTGCTCACTTCCTCTAATGGCTCCTACTCCCCCTCTTCCAGTCCTTGTGCATTTGTCCAAAGATGACTATGCAGAGGGGGTTTTGAACCCAGACCCTCTGACTCCTAGCTGCCAGGGGCAGGAGAGGTTCGAGGGCCCTGTCTTCCCTTTTCCACACATCCAGACCCCAGCCCCAAGCTGGCCTCATTCAGGAGGCTCTTGCAAAATGAACGGTGAGTTTTAAATAGCAGGGTTTCTTGAGATGGGAGGCAATGGAAAATTGAACAGCACAGTGGGTTAAGAGAAAGCTTCAGAACTAGCAGAATTTGGGTTCAAATCTTTGCTTCACCTGCCTACTTCACCTCCTTGGCAAAATGACTTAACCTCTGAACCAGTCTATTTTCCATGGAAAGGGGCAACACGCCTATGCGAATGCCTTGCAGCAAGGATTTCATTAAGGTAATTCGGGGACCAGTGGATGGCCTTACGGTTACATTGCTGGGCTCCCGTGTAATCAGTCGCAGTTTAAGTCTAGGACCCGGTGACTTAAAACTCATACTGACTGGGTGCGTGTGTGTGCATGCCCAAAATCCCAAGAGGAGAATGGAGGAGAAGGGATTGAGGTGTTGAGGTGTGGTCATCCCCCTCGGGAGGTGATTTCTCACTTTCTGTTTATCTCTCTCTCTGTCTTTCCGGTGAGTGCACACACTCTATGCCAAAAATCTCTCTCTCTCTCTTTTTTTTTTTTTTTAAAAAGGTAAATCACATGGACATGCACTGAGTGGCTTCACTGACTTCTGCCCAAGTCCTGTCCCTCCTCCTTCTCTTCACCACTAACCCCCATTTGTGTGTCCTCTGGCTCCCTCCATGCTTTTCCTCTCGGCGCTTTTGGGGGTTGAGGGGAGGCCATTTCTGAGTCACTCGCAGCTGAGAGCTGGGAGACGTGGATGTGATGAGTTCCAGGTGCGTGGCGGGGGCAGCAGGGCCCTGTGTGGACTGGCAGCCCCCATCCCTGCCCACTGTATGCAGAAGCCTGTCCAGGCTGCCAGGTGTCTCCCTGGAGCAGACAGGGAGGATGAGGACTGCACTCCACATCAGCTGGACACTTAAGATGGAGGCTGGACTGGAGGGTCCAGGCTGCCCTGAGGCTGGTGGGCTGGTGCATTCTTGTCTTCCTGCTCTGTGGGTGCAGCCTGGGCTGGACTATTCCTGGGGTGCTGTGTCCTGCCTCAATCGCTACAGTTACCGGGCAGTTCTGGGGCCTCCCCAAGGCTCTGCATCTTCTCTAACAACCCAGAAGGTGGAGGCCAGAGCCAGGTCTGGGGGCACAGGGTAGTCTGCTGAGCTGCCAGGCGTGCCAGCGCCGAGCAGACTACTCACCGTGCTCCCGCTGCCCTTGCCTCCCAGAAGGACCCACAGGGCGCTAGCTGGCTCTGGCCTCCGTCAGGGGCAGCAGAGGCACCTACACACTGCCTTCTGGTCTGGCCACAGTGTCTTACCTTTTTTCTAGCCTGGCCCTACCTTCCTTTCCTCTACGAAGCCCTCCTTGCAGCCTCTGCTGACCGCTCCATCTGGTCATTTGTTTGTTGGTTCATGCATCTGTTCTCAGTAACTGACTTATTGAGCAGGTACTATACTCCACGATGTAGGGTCCTAAGGGCTGGACACACAAAGATGAACAGGCATGGCCCTCTCTCATGGCTGGTTGGCATCATTAGCCTGCAGCTCCAGAGAGTGAGGCCTCTTGCTTAGCCAGCTCACGCTCAGTACTTGACATATGCTCTATAACAGCTCCGAGCTGCTGCAGATGTAACGATCCCTTTTTATAGACCAAGAAACTGAGACGGAGAAAGGCTAAATCACTTCCTGCCTAAGGCCCCACCAATAGTGACGCTGGAGGTAGAACTCAGAGGTGGCCTGAAGAAACAGGTTGGACTGAGTAGGGTGGCATCACTGAGTAGGGCCCAGCACTGGCAGAGGCCCTGAGGCTGAAAGACTCACGTAGCATCCGTTGAACGGGGGCCATGGGGTTGAGTGTGGGACGTGAGGTTGGGGAAAGGGACGTTGTGAAGGCCCATGCCTGGGCCCACCATGGGGCCTTCAAAAGCTGGTGCATAGAGGATGGGTGGGAATGAGGGGTTCCCACACCTCGCTTATTTGCAGATTATCTATCCTAGCAGCAACCACCCAGCCTCCCACCCTCCCCAGAGTGTGAGCGTGAGTGCACGTGTGTGCATGTGTGTGTGCACGCCCGATGCTTTGTCCCTTTCCCTCTTCTCACAGCCTGAGTAACGGGGATGACTAGGCAGCACTATAAATAGCCACCGTGGAACTTTGCAAAATCCGTGACACTAAGAATTGGGGTCAGGGGACAATCACAGGAGAAAAATGACACCCCTCAATCTGCTCTCCCTCCTGTTCTGCCCCTTCCTCCCATAAGCCATTGCAGCACCTTGCACCTTCTCTGTTTTTCTCTCCAAGGTGGGCCTTAACGTCCTGGTTCAGAAAGCCAACAAGTTCACGCCAGCCACCCGCCTTCTTGTCCAGAGATTCGTGCCATTTCCTGCTGTAGGTAAGACCTGCACTGGGTGCTGCTGAGCATGCATGCATCGTATCTGGACATAGGGACTGTGGGACTCCTGGGGGCTGGTCTGCCCCTCCGCACCGTTCCTGATTCCCAGGGGCTCTTGGCTGGGGAACTTGGGTGAGAGCGACAGGGGCCCTCATTGACCAGCTTCATCCCTGAAATTCTGCTTTTAGCATAGGGATACTTACCCTAGGCTCCCAGACTCCCAGAGGGTCAGTAGACAGAATGCAATGGATCTGTGAACTTGGGTGGGGGAAGTATTTATACTAACCTCTGTGTGAAATTTAACATTGCCTTCCATTATGAAGGCAGATAGCAAATCACAGTATATGTGACTTTGTCACCATTAGAAATCAGATATTTTCATGTCACCTTACAGTTGTTACAGAGATCTTAAAATGTTACTTATGCTCAACATTAATTTGAAACAATGATATTTAATACACTGACCAGTAGATCTTGTTTTTTAGTTTAGTTATCTATTACTGCATCAAAAAAGGTTAAAATGTGGGAACCAGCAGTTAGCGTAATGGCTATGTCGCTGGACTCCCATGTAGTCGACCGCAGTTCATGTCCCGGACCCAGTGGCTTAAAACTCACGCCGGGCATGTGTGCGTGCGTGCCCAAGATCCCGAGAGGAGAATGGAGAAGGGATTGCGGCGTGACCATCCCCCCTGGGGGGTGATTTCTTGCTTTCTGTCTCTCTGTCTCTGTCTGTCTGTCTGGCGAGCGCACGCACCCTATAGTGAAAATCTCTAAAAAAAATTTTAAAAAAGGTTAAAATCTCGGTATAACTCCTTTGTAATCTTATGCATTTAGAAGCATTATTCCAGGGTTGCACAGGCCTCACCAGACTGTTGGAGGGGCTTCCTGGTATAAAAGAAGGTTCAAAGCCCTTGTAGTCCAGGGATTAGGCTCTTGGGTACGGTGGCCTTCTAGGTTTTGGAGGCCTTTGGTCATATTCAGGAGATTGTGTGTCACACCTGTACGGGGTGGGGGTCTCTCCTGGCTTTACTGGCAGCTTTGTGGGACTTAGCATATGAGTTCACCATCGATGTCCCGGGAATGGGCCCGTGGATGTCCACTGGGCTCTTTAGAAGCCTATACTTTGTTTAGAAAGAGTGGCAAAATAGTGGAAAGGTTTTTTGAAAAATAATAATAATAAACATTGGTAGCAGCATCAGGCAGTGATGGTGAGTTGTTGGAAGAGAAGTGCGAGTGAGTGCTGGAACCAGAACACCAGAGTTCCCCATCTGGCTCCAGAGAACAAAGATGGGGGCAGGCCCAGCACCAGGCAGGGGTCCCGTGACTCCCTGTGCCAAGGCTCAGTCTGGAGAGCTGGGAGTCAGACCGGGTTCATGTCCTTGATCCCATTCTTCACCTCCAGGGCTCAGCTTCCCCGTCTGGACATCGCGGGCCCCAGAGCCTACCTACCTACAGCCCAGCGCTCTGGGAGGAGCCAATGAGGCCAAGACTAGAGTCCATGGATAGCAAAGTGCTTTGAGGACCTGAAAAGCCCCCACAAGAAGGTGGGAGATCATTACCGGGCAGCCCCACCTCCTGGATGGCCTGGAGGCTAATGAACTCTCAGAACCAACCACCTGGCTGCCACCCCAGATAATTGCTATAGCAACTCCACACTTTTAATGAACTCCCAGCTATTTCTGTTGTGGGCCATTAATGGAATAACTCTTTAGACCTGACTTTGTGAAGGGGCCTAATTGAGCAAACACTGGTGTTCCTGGACATTTGGGCTGAGGGTCAGAAGCAGCCTGAGAAGGGGCAGCTCTTGGCTGCACTGGGCTGGATCGTGGACTGGAGCAGATGTAATCTACCCTTGAATCGAGCTGCAGATAAGAACTTCGCCAGGGGCCCATTCCCGTGCTGTTCTGACGGCCTTCTCGCTGTGTGACCTTGAGGTGGTCTCAGCCTCTCTGGGACTCCTTCAGGAGGGAAGCCCCTACTTTCAGTCAGACATTCTGACCTGTCCTCCTTCAGACTCCAGCTTGATTCCCCTCCCATCTCATTGGGAAGGAGCCTGAGCCCCCTGGCATGGGACCAGCCTCTGTTGGGCTCTTGAGAGCTCGTGACCCCAGCCAGTTGCACAGGTCGCCTGCAGCCTGGCTGCAGCCCTCACAGTCCCAGCTCACCAGGATCCTGAGAGAAGCAACCCTTCTGGCTTCTTCCTCAGGTCTGGCTGCTCAAGTCCTGGCTGTGGGCCTACCTGCCCTCCACCCCCAGGGCCCACCTCTCCTCTCCTACGTGTCTCTGACCCCTGATGTCCATCCCAGTCACACCTGCAGATAGGCCCCGCCGGCTTCCCGGTCAGTGCTGACACAGTGGTGTGCGAGAGGAGCAGGCACGTCTCTGAGCAGGAGCCCCCGGTTCTTAGAGCACCATCCATTCCCTGCACTCGGCCTCCCTCTGCCTTCTCCCAGGCAACCCTAGCCAGGGCTGAGCATCTCCAAACCCCACTATCCTGCCAGGGGTTCACCCCTGCTTTCTGAGGCAGGCTGGGCAGAATGGGTCTGGGCCACCAAGAAGCTGGCCTAGAATGTGCTTTACCTTGCAGGGGTCCCCAGGACTCAGCGAGCTGGAGTGCACATGGGGAGTAGGTTGAGGCAGGTGGAACTAATCGTATCAAGCCCTGGTTGTTGGGATGTGTGTGGGATAGAGCAGAAGCATCTTCGGGATGGTGAGGGGCCTAAGGCCTGCGAGAGGCTGGATGCCCACCCCACTTCCTGGGGAACAAATAGGCTTCAGGAGTCAGTTGCTTCTCCCCCCTGCTCTGCCCAGCTCCTCCTGGGGCTCCTGCTCCTGCCTGGAGTCTGGGAGGTGGACAGCGACTTCTCTGGGCTCCACATGCTGCTGGAGAGAGAGGCTGAGACAGGTCGCATACAGCCTGTCTGGGTGCAGGACGCCTGGTGCCCGCACCTACCTTCACTGCACCCACCCCTCTGCCAGCTGCCTCCCCATATAACCAGACCTCACTGCAGCCCCCACCCTGCCGTGACCTCCTTGCCAGACACAGCAGGCCTCCCCGGGGGTGGCAGAGCCCAGTACTCCCAGGGCCCTCTTCAGGTGCCCCAGCAGGGACTCTCTTCCCCTCAGTCCTCCCCATTCTGTACCCAAGGGACCCGAAGGCAGCGTGTGCTATCCCCGTTTCACAGAATAGACCAAGTCAGACTTGCTCAAAGTTATACTGAGTCAAAGCCCAGGCCACCCAGGCCCAGCCCGTGGATATTTCAAGCCTGCCTTCATGGGAGGGAGATCGCGAGCAGCAATAGAACACCGCTCAGACGCTGACCCACATGAAAAGGTTCCAGGTTCACATCTAGAGACCTCCCTGAGTACGCTGGGCTCAGGTGTGTCTAAGACCCAGGGGTGGTGTGTGTGTGCACGTGTGTCTGTGCGTCTGTCTTTCTGTCTTACTCATGGAAGGCATAAATAAATACACTTCAAAACAAACCAAAGAACAAGGCTGCTTGGTTAACCCCCACGCCCTGCAGCTGAGAAGCCGAGGTCCAGAGGTCGCCGGGGACACTTGCCCCTCTTGGAACATTCCACCGCCAAGGTCACCCCTGGTTTTTCAGCCAGGGTCATGAGTGCATGTGTGCGTGTGTGTGTGTGCACACTCACTTGTGCAATGCTGCGTGTGCACGCATGTGTGCCGACTACGTGGCAAGCCTGGGAGGCTCGCTGCAGCTCCTTCTCTTCCCGCGGTGGTTTCAGAGCCGAGCGGTGCCCTGGTCTAGAGCAGCAATCATGTGGGAAATCTCCGTTTCTATTTATACATGGAGATGTTGGGAAAGACGGTGAGCCCAGGAGCATGTGTGCTGGCATCGGAATCGATTGGGGACTGGTAATTAATTTGTTTAGACCTTAATTAATTCTCCAGTTCTTTCTTATTTGTGGACTGTCACACTTAATTGTGTTCAGGAGCTCGAGCTCGGAGCAGGCCCTCCATTAATTGACGTGTGGTGGCGGGGAGGTGGAAGTTAATGGCTTGGGAAGCTGGGCAAACACTGTAATTGAAGGTCAATAGAGGAGGCATCGGAAACACGCCGCCCCGGGTCCAGCTCCCGGCCTCCGTGAGCAGAGTCCGTTCGAGGGTGCAGGCCTCACTAAGAACCTTCATGTGAGACGTTGAGGAGGGGGCTCTGGAAGGCACTGCCACCAAGAAGGAGGGCCAGGTCCCACGAGGGGCCACCTCGTTGTCAGGAATGGGTGAAGCAGGGCGTTAGAGAGGTGGAGACCCCAGGTGTCCGCAGGGCAAGCACATGTATGCAGCCGGCAGCCCAGACTCCGTGTGTGTATGTGTGAGTATGTGCGTGCGTCTGTGTGTGTGTGTGTGTGTGTGTCTGTAGGGCGAGGTCAGGAAGTCCTGGAGATCACCCCCAGACTGTATCCACTGCAGAGCAGGGAGCAAGTGGTGTCATATGCTAGTAAGACCCTGTCTGAGCTCTGAGCTCCCATGGAGAGGCCTGAGCCTCAGCACCAGCCACTAGGTCCTCCCCGGGAGAGTGACCTTCCTGCACGGACCAGAAATGCCAGCCTCAGCATCCCTTTGGCGGTAAAGGACTTCTTCCTGTGCTGTTCCCAGTGTCCCTCGTGTTAAATGTCACAACGCATGAGCTTTTCATCGCCATGAAGAACTCTGTGCTTACCAGAAGTCCTGCTCTGGGTGTTGACAGTGTTGGGAGAAAGTGTGCTCATTCACACGCGCGTGCGCCACACCTGCCTCCCCAGCCCATGCCCATGCCCCCCTCCACCCTGGGTCACAGGGGTCCTTATATTGTTGACCTTCTTTGGTCCACTGCTCTTCCCTGGGGCTTAGTCCTCTACTCCCCTCATCCAGGAGGTGGCCCGGGCAGGGTTGCCCAAGTCCCCCAGGTCTGCCAGGCTAAAGCACAACTCCCAGCTCCCCTGGCCTGCTCTCGGGCATGTGGCAGCTGTGCTCCCTCCATCGAGGTCGGTGGTGCCTC